TTCCGAGAGCAAACGATCCTCTTTTCTTTCCTTTGACGGCAATAGACTATGTTTTCAAGACACGAGGTGAATAAGGCGGGCCGCACGCGCTAACGCAATCGTGTAATCGACCGCAATCATTTTGATGACTGCAAATCGTCGACGATAAACGACGAAATAGAGATGATTGTAGTGTAGGTAGAGCTTACAAGTAGACCGTCGCGGATATATCGCGGCTCGTATCTGTGTCAATCAGTTCGTTGCCGGGCCTAAAGCAGGTTTGTATTCCAAACAATCATCGTACGTTTCAATTGTCGAATCCTTGATTTTCTTAAAAAATTCCATTTAGATATTTCTGATATTTCCATCGCGTGAGGTAAATTGCGTGACGTTTCTCGCATGAAATCCTTGAATTGCCTTCTATTGCCGCGACGATTGCCCGTTCATCGACAGCACTTCGTTTCCGTTTCATGTCGCTCGATTTAATGTCATGATCATTAAATTAATGGACCATGTATTGCGGCGTAACGTTTTATTGTAAATTATACGTGATTTTCTGTTAAATTTATTATTTATCAAAGAGATGCTCATGCTGTGTAAAAAGTAATTTTACTCGAATTACTTATTATAAAATTGTTAATAGTAACTGAATTAGCCATAAATTTTTAAACTAGCCTAATTGATGTTCGCGACGTGTGATGACATCGCTGGCAAGATGTTGGAAATCGCCGGCGGAATTTCACAACGTCCCTAGAGCGTTCCTCCTACAAATCGTCCGTTAACTAATGTGGGAAAGCATCAAGGATAATTGGCCGCGTAAATCGTCGGTCATATTAACGTCCATTTGGATGTAAATCCACCAGCCGGCTTCCGATACCATTCGTTTAGCGAGATCGTATCATTCGCGGACGAACGCGTGGATAACCAACAGGTATCTCTCTTCACTGCCGCTTCAATTTCCGCGAAACAGTGCGCAATAAGCACAGTATAATTGCCGCTGTGCGCCGTTTCTTCTTTTTCCGCTCGATGAAATCCCGCTTACGTATTTATCTATTTAATTAGCGATGTTGGTTGATTGTTCGGAATTTTTCGCACTGCTTTTCGCTAATTTATCCCATCTACTCTATATTCTTGTGTAATGGAGAAGGCTAATTAAATATTTATCTGATGCTCGACGGAGGAGTTAATTAACCGCGGTGTGTGGTACCGCGAGAAACGAAGTTAGTTTCCGAGCCAGAGCGAAACGAATCGTGATGCTACCATTCTTGTATCGAAATCACATCTTGATGAATGAGCCGCGATATTTTTGCAATCGAAACTATGTTCTTCACTCGCCGACCGAATCTCGATTATTCGTCCGCATTGATTCGATAAGCGTGTGGCTCCGAAACCGAAATTCGAACTTAGTATCGGTAATGTGTCTACGATTCGGTATGGTCGCGGTGCAGGGATTATTGAGCTTGTCGATGAATGAAGTGGTTTACTACGAAACTCCACAGCCATCGTGCACGTGGTCAACGTAAAGTGTAGATGAAGGTAGAATGAAGTAAGTTATAAAATTGTAATTTCCAAGTAGATTTTTTTTTCTAACACATAGTTATAATTATGCAACGTTCAACGTATCAATGAAGGACATCTTATCAAGAAGCTAGTCGATCAGCGGTAAATCGGTTGTGTTATGGATTGAATCATGGATTGCAATTACCTCAGGCTAATCGCGTGTTTTCCTACATGTAGCTTTTTACGTGGCAATGAAAACATCAACGTCACGAATGAGATCATGCACCTTGGCTCAGTGAAATCAATTAGAATGAAGATTCTTTCAAATAGTTACATACGTGCGCGTGGGAGTAGACGTGCTGTACAATCAATGTTCATTGAGACGCTACATACGACGCTTGTGAATCGCTTCGTGGAAAAGTGAGATCACTGTAGAGCTAACTGCACAACTTTTCTAATCTTGTCGTATTTGCCTTCTGTGACTCAATACCGTTCACGACTAATCTGTCGTTGTTTCCCCCAAAATTTGAACGTAGATAATTTAATGACACTTTATCTCTCCTCCTGTCTCGAAGGAACAGTTTCACTCTCGAGTCTGTTGGAGAATTGACACTCAAAGTGTTTGAAAATTAATCACGAAGCTGAATATCTTCAAGCAAGGCTTTCGTTCAGTCGAAGGGATGAGCTCTACATTCGCGCATTCGAACATGATCCGCGTGACAAGTGACGCGTACCGAATAGAGTCGTGCGACGACCCAAGTAATTAAGCGCCGGCTGTGGCTGTTTGACCATCATCACAAACAATGAATTCGTGTCACGCCAGAAGATGACGACAGATTAGACCACAAGCCAAATTAACAGGATGACCGAATGTTTCTGGCTTTTCCTCGTTCCGTGCGAATTAATATTAACGAAACGAATGACACCATCATCGCCAATGTGACTGTC